ATGCCCCTTTTACTTAGTTTTTATTAATTTCCGCTGCAACTTTTGAAGTTTTAATCATTAAATAAAAGTTCATCTCTATTTCAAAGTATTATTTTGGGTGGAAAATTTGGGGGTGTTACAGGTGGTATCAGAGCAACCCTGCGACAGTGTGCTGACCCGTTAGATATCGGGCGGGCACTTAGCGGGGCAAGATTCTGGGGTTTTATTGAGATTGGTTTAAGGGCGCAACGAGGACGTTGCGATCCTAAGTGGGGGTGATTGTAATACCCAAGATTAATTTAAGAGGATTAATAGTACTACTCATACCAACAGAGGTGCATCTCCTTTTAAGGGAGCTCATCACCCAAGAACTCCAAAGTTAAGCGTGCTTACACGGGAGTAGTCTTGGGATGGGTGACCCCCTGGGAAGTTTCTCAGGGCGCGCATGAGTGAGGACAAAGTGCGCGGTAAAGGCTCGTGGTGGTTTGTGGGGACAGTACTATTGGTCTAGAGTAGCTACCTCGGGTCCTGCGAGGCCGGGGTGTTACATACTCTCTCTCTCTAACTTATGCTCTGACTTCTCTCTAGTTATTCCCCGCAATAACCCTTCGGATACATACCCCCGGGTAGGCTATCCATCAACATTCATACTTTTTATGTTGAACTGCTAACACATTGAGACTATTTATAGTTGCATAAGTCATGGTCTCAAATCATATGAGTGGTTTTTAACCAATGGTTTATTCGAACTCCATAATCTTTAGTCTAAGATTTTTGGTACAAATCACTTAATTTTGTGCAGTACAAATTGTACAATGCATTTAATGTTGATTCGATTATCTTACTCCACTTAAGAGAGCTGCTCATTCGAATTCAATAGTAAAGACTATGATGTTGTTCATAGTACAATACGTTAAATGCTATTAAACAATAAGTTAACCACATGCATACTTTGTTAAAATTTGAATTGCATTCTTACACGCAAAAGATTTTTATGCATGCATTGAATGCAAGCATTGAGCCACAGGATATTGAGCCACCAAGTTTGAAAAGTCTTTCTACCTTTTGTTATATTTCCGTTTTATTTTCACTTTTTCCCTTTTTTCTTCTAGTTACATTATTATGTTTTTTTGTCTTTCTTCTTTTCTTTCTTCTTGATATCTTAATTCCACCATTAATATATTTTTTATTCTTACTTCATTATCATATTTTTCTAAGTAATCCACTCATTAATTCCATCAATTGTGGAAAAAAATTATGTGATAAAAAGATTGGTGAAAAATAAAATTTAAAGAAAAATAAAGCATTTGGGAAATGTAAATAAACATAAAACATTCGCGAAAATGTAACTTTTTTCCGCGTTTTTTTATATTTTTCATACATTTTCTCGAATGTTGTATTTTTATTTAAATTATATTTTTCCCTAAACTTTTCGTGACAAAGTTTTTCCCACAGGGGAAAAGTGAAGATAAAAAGAAAATATTACAAAAAGTAGATTGAAATAAAGTTTTTTAATAAAAAGAGAATGATTAAGAACAGAAACATAAAAGGGAAATGAAATAACAATGTAGCAAGAAAATGCAAATGATAAAAATCTATTTGGGAAGGAAATTTTACAAAAAAAAATCTCTTAATAGGGTGAGAAATAGAATAATAAATATGGAAAAGAAATAAAAACAAAAGGATGGAAAAAGGAATTAAAAAGTGTCTAGGGATAAAAATAAAGAAAGAAAAAATTTAAAGAATAAAATGATACAATTAATTGTTTTGAGCAGATTTGTAAAAAGTGAAATTATTTATTGTAAGATTTGCAAGGAAAAAAAACTTGTTCAATCAAACGTGAGATCATTCTTATTATTTTTTCTTAAAAAAAGGAACTAGCATTACCTCCGGCGGTAAACTGCCAGATATGATCGTAATCTATGGCTCTATGCAGTGCATCTCCATTGCCTCCTAGATGTCCTAGGCATTGACTTTTGGCTCAAAATTAGTCCTCCGACACGTTAGAAATTAACTTTCCGTTTTAAAGTGCCGACAAGACCAGCTTTCGACACCATTAATTTATCGCTCAAGCGAACACTGATTTACTAAGCGCATTTGTTTTGCTGCAATCACTCAACCGAGTCAACCCCTAAAATTTCTGAAAAGGTATATCCCTCTTCTGCATTAGAGAAATGCCGTTTGTACTTTGTACCGCCAAGTTATACACAATATTTTACACCTGATTGACAATTTTTTTTATCGACAATTTCTTGTGTCTGTGACACAAACAATTTCTTTTTACCGGAGTGAAAAACGGTTCTTTGCAGAAAACTAAAAAATGTTTATACACAAACAATGTGACCGGCGTGCAAAATGCCGTGTACATCTAGCGTGTACATGAAGCGTGGTCGCTCACACTAAGGTACCCACTCAACTTTCCGATTGGGAAGTTGTACGAAGTTACTCTTTGTTTGCGATGTAGTGTAGAAGTAGAACTCATGGTGAATTCGCTGATTGTTCAAAAGTATGATTATGTATACGAAAAATAAATGAGAAAATTCCTTAAATAGGACTAAAATAAGAATAAAATTACTCCCACCGTCCCTATATAAAACTATCCATTCGTTTTCCACACATTTTAAGAAAATGAGGTTGGTTGGTACCGTTTGGCATTGTTTGGGCACTGTTTCAAAACTGTTTGACACTGTTTTGCACTGTTTTGTTTGCCAAAAAAAATTGGACTTTTATTTAATTAGTGACGGCCCGAAAAGGAAACATATGCTTTTATTTAGGGATGGAGAGAGTAATAAATAGAACTATTAATGTTTCATTCTCAAAATAGGATTCATTCACTCCTATGTTGGGAAGTTTTAATCAAATTGTTCATTTAATAGGACTAAATAAGTCATATTTGGGGAATAAAATATACTTACTCTATTTTTGAATTTTGTTTACGTTTTAGTCCTATGAGCAATTCCTAAATTCCAAAACCGCAGCCAAGATTGACCCTCGCCGAGGTTGGGGGCATTCCCAGCACTACGGCCGAGCCTAATGCCAACTCTCGCATTATGAGCACAAGCTTAGCAAAGACATTCTTACATCTCACTATGAGCCGATGTTCCCCCACCTCTGACGTAAACACGTGTACACCAGCTAGGGGCACACTCAGGTCTAGCCTAGGGCCTCAAATAGAGATTGTGGATTTAGACATTTTAGTATTAAGGATCACACAACGTTCTGAAGTATGTCACCTTGTGATAGCTGTCATGCCCCGAACCTACCCGGACACATCAACAACCCGTCATGCAATACAAATAGTCAACCACAGTCAAGCACATTCATATTATACAAGGCATCTCGAATATCATTCACACATAAGTCATCCATAAACATACATAATAAGCAATTCAATACGCAGCGGAAAACATAGTTTGAAAACAAATGCCACCCGAGGCAAACATGAGCACGCAGACTCTATAGTAAAATATCCCTGAGCAAGTTTATATTTGTTCAAACAGAATGGAGGAAGCACGAACTAAGTCTTCTCTCCAGAGCAACCACTCGAGCAACGAGCACAGGAAGCAAGCTCTAGCCTCAACCTGAAATGGTGGTGGGATGCCCCCGAAGGGGTCACTACTCTATAGGACTATAAAGTACTGGTGTGGATGACATCTAATAGATATACAACAAGTATTTCAAACACAAGACCCTCAAATAGGGTGATAATATAATCTAGGCCCTAACCCCAAGTTACCCCTTTTCAAAATATACTTACTTTATATAAAGTTAAGTAGTCGACCCGTAGGCCCAAGTTTGTTTACAAAACATCAACCCAATACCCCATGACTACCAGTCATGACAATTCATAGGGTCCAACCCTAACACATATGTTTGCATTTCTAGAGTCCGACTCAAGTACATCACCATGCAAATCATATGACACAAGTCAATTACTTCACCGTGCATTTCTAGAGTTCTACTCAAGTACATCACCATGCACATCATAGGTTACAACCTTCAATCTCACCATGCATTTCTAGAGTCCAACTCAATTACATCACCATGCATGTCATCATTCACAACCCCATGTCTATCCATGCACTTCTAGAGTTCTACTCAAGTACATCACCGTGCCATGGCATAGACCCAATTCCTAAGCAACCTATGCCTAGAATTGACATATCAATAATCTACCTTGGGACATCCTTAAGGACTGCCCATAACATGATCTTAGTTTCATACTAAACCAATTTAGTCACTTGAATCACATTCAAGTGCATCACTTACAATCAAATCCTTAGAATCAATTCTTTAACAATTATAAATAATCATTAACTAGTATTTCAATACTATTAAGATTATTCCTATCAAATCAAATATTCCATTTGTAAATCCCTACATATTTAGAAATATGTAGCAGCAACTTAAGCATCCAATATAATACATAAATATTCATTTATGTATCTACGCATTTCATTCATGAGTAAAAATGCCTATTTTACATAATAGGTCGTTAATAGCCCATTTAATTCCATTTTATCAATATGACTTCAAATCATTTCCAATTTCATTCCTTATCAAATATATCAATATTTCATCAATGATTAAGCATCATAATCCATGAAAACATAATTTAGACATTTAGGTAATCTCATGCTTAACCTACAAGTTGTAAGCAACTAGATGTCGATCCTCACTTCAAATGAGTTTTAAACCTTTCCTTCTCAATCCAATGCTCAAAGATTCGGACAAGGAAGTTTTAGAACTGATTCCTTTCTTAGAAATGAGTGTTAGATAGCCTTCTCAAGGTGCTAGCTCAACTCCTAACCGATGATACGAAAACAGCTCCTAGAATAGGTGTTTTCCGGCAAAATCGTTTCCTAACCTTTCAAGGTTTGTTCTAGGTTAGTATCTAACCTTTACAACAAATAAAGAAACCTTATAATAACATTTTATAAACTTGAAATAGTGTATAATAGTTCCACCAATCGTTCATATCATTTAGATAATGAAAAGGAAGGTTTGGGGTTCAAACTCACTTTAAAGAAACAAATCCGTTTCTGCGAGGTAGCTTCTGCCTTCGATGATTTGGAAGCCTTCCACTACCCTTTTTTTGCAAACAGAACCTCCACGGATTCCTTATCTTGATATATTTCTGTAGACACCACACACACCTTATTTGGACGAGTGTAGCTTGAGATATGAATCAGACAAGAAACCCTACGCACTGGAAAATAACCCTGCGGGCAGTTTGTCTTTCCTTGCTCTCTTGAGTTGTGTGGCTCTCTCCTATCCAATGATCTTTGGGAGTTCGAATGGTAGGTGGTAGGAAGGTTATCTTGCTTCTTTCTTAGCTTCAAAAGTCAATTGATTGAGAGTGGGTGGGCATGTGGGGTGTTTGATCGAAATATCTCCTAATCAAAATGGGGAGAGGGTCCCTTTGTTGCCAATCATGTCTTGTTCAGCCCCCTCCACTATTTTTCCTCCCCAATAAAGTTCTCTAACTCTTTTTATTTATTTTGCAGGTGTCAAGAAGGTGTGGAATGGTTCCCAAATGATTCCAATTTATTTGGGGTCCAAAATATCTACCAATACTTCCAAAAATGGAAAGATGGGTTCTATTGTTTTATCTTTTGTCATGGTATGTCTTTTTGTACTCATTCTAATTTATATAGACCAAGTCAACTATATACATCATATTATTGGTCTCTAATATGTGTAGGATGGTCTCAATAAATTATGTGATGTATAATGTCAAAGATTGTGACCTTCGCATTTTTATTATTGGGCTACATATGAGTTTGTATTCTTCTCTAATCATCCTTATTCCCATTATTTAGCTCAATAATGCCAAAGATGGGACCATAGGAGTTTGTATTCTTCTCTAATCATCCTTTCCCTTATTTGTGACCTTCGCATTTTTATTATTGGGCTACAAGCTGTGTGGGCTACCCTCGAGTGGGCCTAAGACGCCATTCTTGAATACTTACTAGTTGTATCGAAGGGTTATGTATTATAGCTCAATCAAGCATTACGTAAAACATTAATCATTTTACAATTGTTCGATAATAGCGAAATCAATACATAAACTTTGAAATTTAAATTGAATTTCAAGGACGTTCGGGTGCGGTGTCACAATAGTTGTCCTAGGGCTGACATCACGCAGTTCGATTACACTTGCAGCCAACTGCCAGATTTACACGTATGGATAGACTAATGGATCAGAACTTTTACTTGTTCACCAAGTATTTCCTTATACACTATATATATCACCTTTCAACTTGTGGAAACAGATCGCAATGTTGATTTTTGGCACATTGTTGCTCTTCCAAAATACTTACTCGATCTACCCTTTCATATTTTTGACTCTCTCTTTATTACCTACCTCGAGGTTTGTAAATCCATCAAATTATTGACTTCATTTTTATAACCATTATTTAATTCATTAGATGATACAAATGCTTAAGCAATATAACATATAAATGGATCGTAATAAATGGACTAGGTCATCAAATAAAGATGACTGAGGAATGACCGATTTAGTCGATCGTAATAAATGGACAAGGTCTTCGAATAAAAATGATAGAGAAATGAACGAGTTAATCGATCGTAACAGATAAACCAAGCCATCAAATAAAGATGACCCGGAAATAACCGAGTTAATCGATCGTAATAAATGGACCAGGTCATCAAATAATGATAGCCGAGGAATGACAAGCTAATCAATCGTAATAAATGGACTAGGTCTTCAAATAAAGATGACTAGAGAATGACTGAGTCAATCGGCCATAATAAATAGACTGGGTCATCAAATGAAGATGCCGGTGAATGATCGGGATAATCAATCATAATAAGTAAACAAAGCCATCAAATTAAGATGGCTGGTAAATGATCAGGATAATCGATCACGATAAACGTCTGAGGCCATCGAGTAGCCTCGAGCCCTTAGTTGGAACCAGTAAGAAAGATCGAGAATGCATCTATGTGATGAGTCACTCCCGTCTGACCAACGTTGTCGAGTAGCCTTGGCTGGAACCGGTCAATTTAGGGAGCGTCCCTCTGCCACCACTAGGTAAGTACCTCTTGCTGAAAAGCATTGTAGTTAAGCGACAGAGATGACTCCTCAAGGTCGGGACCGTCGAGTAGTCCAGTCTTGTGGTAAGTACCACTTCTTTATGGAGGTTCCCCTTGATGCCCACAAGGTAAGTACCTCTTGCTGAAAAGCATATTAGTTAAGCGTCAAGAGTCACTCCTCGAGGAGTGGGCCATCGAGTAGCCTAACCCTTCGGCTTAGCCTCTATTTCACCCTGCGGTTAACGCTAAGGGGAAACGTGTTTAGGGAGCCATACAGTGGCGGATCTTGCAACTAAATGTTGGGTGTTCGAAATTACTTTACCATTAAGATGTTACTGAATAGTACAATATATAAATCGTTACATCAATTCTATACATGTATTTTTCCACCTGACTTTAAAAAGTTTGGTTGTTCACATGAACACCATTGAACAACGAAGGTCCACCACTGGAGCCATAGGAGGCTCTATATCCCTATAGAAGTATAATCAATGGATTCAACTATTGTAAATTTTCCTTTAAATTGATATTATGATATTTTTCTAACTAAGGTGGTTTGGTCATGTGCGTTGAAGACCCAATGATGCACCTGTTAGACGACTTGAGAGGTGGGACGAAGATACGGGGAGGAGAGGAAGAGGAAGACCCAAACAGACTTGGATTAGAGGAATCAGAATTGATATGCATCTTCTTGGGTTGGATGAGAGTATGACTTTAGAGAGAACAAAGTGGTGGGCGCACATTCTTGTGGACGATTAATCTTTTTTTTTCTGTTATCATTTATTTATCTTTCTTATACCATTTTATCTTTTATCTTTCTTATGTTGTTATATTCTTATGTTATTGTTATCTTATACGAAGTATTTATCTTTATTTTATCCATATTTTCTTTTTTTCTTCATACTTTTCTTCTCTTTTTGTTGAAGGAAGTTTAGAAAAGTCAACTTTGGATTCTAGATAGTTCGAAGTTGTTATATTTCTGTTTTACAAGTTTGTAACAGATTAGTTAATTTTTTATTCGGCTGCTATCTGTCTAAATACTTCATCTTGTATTTTCAATATTATCAATAATGAAAACCATTCTCTTTAGGTTTCTCTCTCAAAATTCTTCAATCTCCATAGTTTCTTACATGGTATCATAGAAAGAGAAATCTGACTCCTGATTTTTTTCCGCATCATTCATCTGCATCTTCTTCGTAGCTTTTCTGTTGATTTTCATCAACTTCTAAACATTGATGGAACCTAAAAATTCAAACTTGTCCACCATTTGCGATCATAATAATCCATTTTTTCTTCGGTCATCAGATCATCCAGGAATGAAATTAGTCAGCGATCCTTTTGATGGATCCAGTTACACTAAATGGAAGAGATCTATGCTGATAGCTTTGTCAGCCAAGAACAAGCTGGGATTTATTGATGGAAGCATTGATAAACCACCTTCTACTTCGTCTACATCAAATGCTTGGCAAAGATGCAATGATATGGTATTTTCTTGGATCTTAAGTGCTTTAACTAAGGATATCGCCAAATCTGTGCTTTACTGTTTAACTGCGAAAGACGTTTGGAAAGAGTTATCGGATCTATCTCAAGGAAGTGACAATATAACTTCCTATTTCACAAAAATAAAAATGATTTGGGATGAGATTGATGCAATGGGAATGAATCCAAGGTGTTCTTGTAACTATTCTTGTGGTGCTTCATCTAAACAGTTGAAATTTCAGCAAGATCAAAAAGTTGTAAAGTTTCTTATGGGACTAAACGACACTTACATTGTCATAAGAGGAGCGATCTTGATGCAAAATCTTTTGCCTAACATTACTATTGTCTACAACACCTTGATTCAAGAAGAAAGGCAAAGAGAAATTCATACTTCAGTGCAATTTCAAACTGAATCTTCAGCTCTCAATGCAAAATTTTAGAAAGTTTTCAATGATGCAAATCACCATCCAAATCACCATTTTTATGGAGAAATAAATTCAACGGTGGACCTAATCAAGGATACAGGAAGACTAATGACCAAACAAATTCAACGGTGGACCTAATTATGGAGAGCATGGCTTAAATGTAACTAAATGAAATTCATGCAATTACGCTTTCCTATTTATTAATGGACTGAACAATCGAGTTTAATCGCTTAACATAAAAGATAATAATAGTAAATCCTGCTTGTAAAAAAACCAAACTTTTTTCTGCAAATATTGCAAAAAGACAAATCACACCATTGACAAATGTTGGAATCTTCAAAATAAGAATAGTGGAAATTTTCAGAACAGAAACAAAAGGATGGTTGCGAATGCTTTTACTCATCAAAATGATCCGGATGATATTCAGAATAGTATCAATAATGGCTTTGGAAATGGTATTGGCAGAAACTCAGTTTTTGAAACTGAAGATATTAGCTCAAATTCTGGTGAAGGTGGTTCAAGAATCATTCAGACCGTGTGTCAACAATGATCTGTGCAATCAATTCATGAATTTCTTGAAACAATTTAAAAATGGTTCAAATCATTCTCCTTTTACTGTAAACTTTGCTGGTAACACTACAACATCTTTCATTACTGTTTCTTGCAATAATACATGGATTTTGGATAGTGGTGTTAGTGATCATATGTGTTCAAATGAGTCCTTATTCTCTAATTTAATTCCCATTTCCAAACCATATTGTATATCTCTTCCTGATGGGCATGCTGTTTTAGTCAAGTCTATAGGAAAAGTTCCCATTTCTCTAGAAATCACTCTACATGATGTTCTATTTGTTCCTTGTTTCAAACTCAATCTGATTTCAGTTGCTAAGTTGGCAAAACAAATGAATTCACATATTTTTTACTCCTCGTCTTTGTCTATTGCAGGGCTCTTCAATGAAGATGCCTCTAATTCTTGGTAAAAATGTCAGAGATCTGTTTCTTCTTCAGCCTAATAATCTCCAGCTTTAACACAAAAATAAACCTAGCTGTTCAAATTCAGTTGTTAGCAATAAAAGTGTTTCTTTTTGGCACACTAGACTAGGTCATTTGACTGTTTACAAGCTGAAGCAGCTTGGATTTTGTAATGATTCTGATATCAATAAAGAAGAATTTCTCTCTTGTTCAATTTGTGCAAAACCTAGACAACATAGATTACCTTTTTCTAATAGTTTCATTCAAACATCCAAGCCCTTTCGATTAATTCATATTGATCTATGGGGACCTTATCATATTCAAACCTATAATGGTTTTAGAT